GGCCTGCGGGGTCTCCGTGAGTTAAAGCCCAGGCCCTGCAGGATCTGGGTCGAGGTGTCGGCTTGGGCCCCGAGAGAGAGCAGGGCCAGGGTGCTGGCGATGCTCACCGGGGAGAAGAGGATGTTTCCCGGGGTTTCCGCTGCCAGCTGCTGGTACACGCGCAAAGAAAGCTGGTGATGGTGGGTGTGACTTGGCGGTAGGCGGGCGCTGGCTCTGGGAGCCGACCCCTGGGGCTTGAGGCAACCCCGGGCTCTTGTCTCCATGGGCAGAGGCCAGGATCCCTGCTCCCAGCAGCCACAGCCACAGCCACGCTGGCTCCATCCTCTGAAAACAAGAGGTTGAGCACATCACTCAGTGACGTCACAGCTCCCCATTGCTCCCTCCGCAAACCTCACATCCAGACTGTATCCCACAGGGTCATGAGGGCCCTGCAGAGGATGAGGGAGGGTGAGCAGCCCGGGCTGGGGACACTTCCCCCCAAGGCTTCAGTCAGAGTGGGGGCCCTTTATCTGCTCTACACATTGATACGTTACAGGGTGTTGCTGAGAAAAGGACTCTGGGTTATAAAAGCAACTTCCATGGTCCCCTCCCTCCCTCCCTCCCACGGTCTGGGTCTGTTTTCCCTGCATCCATCTTTCCTCCCTCCCCCCTCCCCCTCCCCCCTCCCTTTCTTTTTTCCCTTCTTTCCAGTCATTCCTCTAATTCATTACGTTTTAACGAGATGAGAATGATGCTCAGAACTCCTGAGCGAATGTTTAGGACATGGTGGCAATGCGTGTTGCTGGGCCTCCTTTGCATCTGGGTGTGACCATGAGCTATAATCTCGCCAGTCAGTCGGAGAGGAGAGGAAGGCGTGTGTAACTCCTGGGACAGGCCCTGGCAGGGGGAGGCGTGCCCTCTCCACGTTGGTCTTCCATAGCCGGAGTGTGGCTGTGATGGGCAGCCCCGGGGGCCTTGTGGATGAGGGCAGCCTTTGAGGGAGCCTCGCCAGAGATGGATGGAGCCTGGGGGCTGACGTGAGAGAGAGATCACCTCTGCCTCCATCAGGCTCGTTACCGCGAGCACCTCTTGTCACATGCCGTGGCTCAAATCTATCTTAATTAATGCAGAGATTTTGGAAGGATTTCTGTTATGGGTTTCATTGTGCCCCCCCCCCCCCCATTCATATGCTTAAGTCCTGATCCCAGTGTCTGGGAGTGTGATCCTGTTTGGGGATCACTGAGATGTAGTAACCAGTTACGCTGACGTCCTTGGACTGGCCCTGACCCAATAAGACTGCGTCCTGATAGCAAGGGGAACTTAGACCTGGACACATTCGGGAGAACGCCGTGAGAGGAAGGCAGAGATGGACAAGCCCGGGCCCCAGCAAACAGCCAGTGGCTCGGAGAGGCCCGCACGGCCTCCCTCAGCTCAGAAGGAACAGCCCCGCCCACACCTTGACCTTGGCCTTCTGGCTCCAGAACCAGGAGACAGTGCATTTCTGTGGTTGAAGCCGCCCCGTCTGCGGTCCTGGGTTATGACAGCTGAGGCCACTAGTCCAGCGTCTCTCTTGCTTCAGGCTCCACCCTGAGGGGCCAGCTCAGCTTGAGGGGAAGCTGCAGTGGAGACATGCCTGTCTCTGCTCGCCCTGCCCTGTCTAGTGCCCTGCCCCCTCAGGGTCTCCCCCCCTCCCCCACCAGGTGCTCACAGAGCCCACGCTGCCACCACACTCCGCACCTGATGTCCCAGTGAGGAGAGTGCCGTCCCCTGCTCCCTTCAAAACGGACACTTGCGCCGCCCCCTTCCATCCCGGCGGCCCTTGTCCATCTGTCCAGATTGTGTGTGTGTCCTAATCAGCACCTGAATACCATTTGCCCAAACCAGTGGCCTCTGGATAGATTACCAGCGCCAGGTGGTGTGGGAGACACCATATTTCTGCAGGTGCCTACAGAGCCTGTGCCCTAAATGCCCCGCCGAACCCCAAGGCCAGTGGTCAGGAGATTAATGCAGCCCTGGTGTTGGTGATGTTGAAACACTGAGATGTTGAAACGCCGGTCAGAGGCCTGCGCGGCTCAGCCGCTGTGGCTTGCTAACCACCCTCTCCGCGCTTTCTTTTGAGGGGGATTTGGAAGAAGCGGAGCAGTTGAAAATTTGGTCTGCCCGAGGGAAAACAAGAAATACAACTATGACAAAACTGTCTCCGGCTTATTCTCCCTGTCCCGTTGAGTGGGCTACCATTTCCTACCTACTCTCACCAGGCGTCCCAGACTCGCTGAAGGGTCTGGTCCCAAAGGGGACGGAGCCGCCGCCAGGCCTGGGTCTGGATCAAGGCCCCGCGGTCACTCACTGAGCGACACTGTGCAAAGCAACCTCTCTGAGCCACGGGGTCCCCACTTGCAAAATGCAAATGGAAATGCCTGCCTCCTGGGCGGGTCACCTTGGCTTCCAGGACCTGCCGTGGCCTGGCGCCTGGCACAGGAGTGTGCGCAGTGTTCATCTCACCCTCTGCTGAGGCGGGGTAACTCCACCCAATCTGCCTCTTCCTTTTCCAGAGAGACCCAGAGGAAGTGAAGCACTGCGCTCATTAACTACAGTGTGCCCACATCCTGTTTATTTGTGGGGATATCAGACTCTTCGTACCAGTGGTCCCAGCCGGAGGTGTCCTGCAATGCAGGGGAGGGTGAGTGCGGAGGGGGGAGTGTCTGGGACCATCTCAGACGGAGCAGGGGTGCTGTTGGAGTCCAGCGGGGGACAGGACGCTCTGAAAGGCCGGCTGCCCTGTGTGCTGGAGAGTCCTGCCCAGAGGCCCCCTTGGAGAAATACTTGCTGCAGGCCCTTTCAGTGGCCGTAGGAGAATCTTAAGACATAGGCATTTCCCTGCTGTGCATGTGGAGACACCGAGACGCGGGGCCCAGGGACCTGCCGGGTGAGGGCGGGTCAGATCCAGACCAGGCTCCCAGAGGGCCCTTTTCAAACAACAGGGCCCCTAGGACATCTGCGTCAGCGCTGTCATCTGGCTTTGGGCTGTATTGTTCTGTTTTCTCCTGTCTGCCAGCATTACTGGGAGTTCCTCTCTCAAAAATGTTGAAGACCAAGTTTTTCATAAAAGGTTATTTAAAACCTGAGGTTCCTCCTTCAACCCTTTCTCCTTTAGGGGGACTCAGTCCTCCCATCCCTGCTGCTAGAGAGAGAGAGAGAGAGAGAGAGAGGGAGAGAGGGAGAGAGGGAGAGAGCCCTTGCCTTCATTCCCCGTGCGAATGGGACTCACAAAGAGGCGCCAGGCGGGCCCTGGTCTTCGGTGCTGCGCGGCCTCCAGCCACAGGAGAATAGTGTTTGCAGATCACAGCAGCCGGGTCAATATTTGTCCGGCCAGTTCCTGGAACCAGGAAGGGACCTGGGTGATTAGCAAACAGGAAGGGACCTCTTTTTCCACGTATCCATCCCATCGGCCCAGCAGCAAACAGCGAGTATGATCTGGACCCGCTGGGTTGGCAGAAATTCTGACAAGGGTGCTGCCGGCCGGCCAGGGGTGCTGAAGGCAGGGGTCGGGGGAGGTTGCTGTCCATCCTTTACGGGTGCTGTGTGCTCCGGGCAGCGGTCTTTAAGCAGCGCCCTCACCTAGGAATGCGAGATGCTAACAGCCTGCCCCGTCAGCATGCATAGCACGTGTGACTCAATCCATCCTGCCGTACACCTTAAACTTACACAGTGATGTGTGGCGAGTACTTCCCAGTACAACTGGAAAAAAGGAATGTGAGAGAGGCACAATCATTCCCTACTTCACAGAAGGGAAACTGAGGCTCTGTGAACTTAACTGAATGCCGTAACCTGGGTGCTGGGACCACTCAGAGACTTGTGATCAATAATACCTGCAGGGGTACTTCTCAATCCTCCTCATCTTTTCGTCCATCCCCCATGCCCCTCCCACCCGGGGGCCGTGAAGCATAATAGTCATAAGATCCTGTCGACAGAGACGAGTGCTGTGCAGGAGGGAGGTTTGGCCCCGCAGCCAGGAGAGGGACAGTGGGCAGCCCCACGTCTGGGCTTCAGTCCCGGGCCTGGGCCTGCCCTGGGTCAGTTGCTCTCTCCTGTGAGTGGGGGAGGGGAGCGATTTCTAGAAGCTTCTTAGCACCACTCCTCCTTCCTTCCTTCCTTCCTTTCTTTCTTTCTTTCTTTCTTTCTTTCTTTCTTTCTTTCTCTCTCTCTCTCTCTCTCTCTCTCTCTCTCTCTCTCTCTCTCTCTGTAAAAGAGCTTGGAAACGCCACCGAGAAGCCCTCAACACATCGGGGTGAAGGCATGGGCCCCCAGAACCCCAGGCTCCACTGGAGGCTGCGGTGTCTCCCTGGGTCATGCGGGGCAGGAGGGGAAGGAGCCAGAGCAGCCCACGGGCCAGAGGAGGGCGGAGAAGCCTGTGCGGGGAACCCCCGAAGCCCCTCGCCCCATGCGTGGTGCTGAGGAGTCAGTGTGAGGGGCAGGCCACGGTCCCTCCAAGCAGCAGGGAGGAGGCCGAGCACCCGAGGGCCCTGTGTGCGCATGCGACAGCGTCAGGGCCGAGAGGGCAGCTGCCGCGACCAGTCTGGATGGAACCCCGAGGTGAGCACCCAGAAAGGTCTTCCCAACCCAGACACTAACCCTCATCTTCCTGTTGGAGAAACTCAGCCGGTTTAATGGCACCTCCCACCAAACCCAGACCCCTTTTCTTGGCCATCAACGCCTGACGCCATCTGACCTTGTTCAACCACCACAGCCACAGCGCCTCCTTCTGTCCCTCCGACGGGCCTGTGCTCACAGAAGCACCCCCTCGCCGCCTGTTTCCCCTCATCCGACCGTCCTAGTGAGGGCCTTCCCAGCACTCCGCATGGCCGGTACAACCGCATGCATTTACAGGTTTCATTTCATCAGGGTGGAGGTGGTCTACCGCTCCCATCTGTGTCCCCAAACCAGGAGCCCGTCGGCCTGATTCATTCCTGGCACGTATGAGGTGCCCTGTGTTTTTGTTGAATGAATAGATGAATTCCGGCAGCCACTGAAATGCCGCATCACAACAGCCTGGCCTCTGTGCCTTCCCACCAGACCACTCTCACATCCAGACCCTGGAGGCGCGCGGGAGCGCTGTGCGGCCAGACTCACGTTTTAGGTTTATTGCTGTGATTCTGAAGTACAGGCCGCTGGCCTGCATGTCACCACCCCAGGGGCTAAGGAATGGAAATATGCCATCCCAGACACACCCCAGCAAGCCAGCCGCCTGGGAGAGCATGGAAGGGGGCGTGCCGGGCTCAGGGGCTTGGTCCGTGACCGGATCTCTGCTGATTGGGGTGACTGAGCCTCAAAAGTGGCCTCGGGGCAGCACATGCAGCTCCACGGGGTCAGATGGACCCTCACACAGAGGCCCGGCCCCATGTCCCCGGGATCTGCAGGCCACGCCACGCGGTTTGTTTATTTCCTGTGCGTTGTTATCGTGTCATCCGCGAAAGGCCTTTCCCCGCCGGGAACTGGGTGGGATCTTCCACTTTGCCCAGGAAGAGCGTGGTCTGCGCGGCGCTGCCCACGATCAGCAGCAGGAAGGGCCTGTTGAAGCAGATGGTGCGAGAGGAGCCGTCCTTGGAGCGGGCGGTGAGCTTGGTGGCCGTGGCCGCCGCGGCCTTGGTGCCCGCCTCACTGACATCCACCACCGCCTGGTGGGTGACCTACCGAGGGAAAAACAGACACCGACATGGTTTAAAAAAACCCAAGCTTTGATATTTTGCCTGGGAATGGGGACACCTCCACCCCCACCCCCCAGCTCCCCACCCCCCCAGAGGCCAAATGCCTGGCCTGAGGTTTGCCGCTGATCAGTTGGCTCTTAGCATGGAGTTGACTGATTACCAGTACAGCCCAGAAAGACCTAGGTTTGAGTCCCAGTTCCGCCACTCATTGTTGCAAAAGTTATTTAGAGGTCGCGTGCTTCACTTTCCAAATCGATGAAAGGCCGGTAATAAATGCATACATCCCACGGGGTTGTTTGACGAATTGAAGGAGAAGGAGATCTAGGAAGTGTGCACACCAGAGTGATTGCCGCAGCCGTTGCGGGGACACGGCAGTCAGGTACTATTGACTATCGCACCCTACTTGCTCTTCTAGACGAGAGATCCTTACGCTGGGCTCATGCACTGCTCAGCCTCAGCGTCCTGTGACTCCCAGCAGTCACAGTCATTGTTTTCACATGTGCACATGGGTTCATAGTGCTCATCATATTTTTTATCCTCACTCAAGGATATGTTTATTGATTTTTTTTGAGGGGGGGGGAGAGAGAGAGAGAGAGAGAGAGAGACTGACTGATTACCTCCCATATATCCCCTGACCAGGAATTGAACCCACAACCTAGGTATATGCCCTGTACAGGAATCAAACCCACAACCTTTTTGGTGTATGGGACAACACTCCAACCCACTGAACCATCTGGCCTGAGCTGCCCATCATATTCTTGTGGAATCTGTACTCCTTCCCTGGGCACCAGTGACAAAGGCCCCATTCAGTGGCCAGGGCCACTTCTGAGCACTGTACTCTGTTACGAAAACAAATTTTAGGTCAGGGATCAGAAACCCTCGCAGACAGGCGTTAGGTAACCCAGTGGGACGAGGAGACCTGTTGTAGAGTGTGGGTTCCACCGGGACCCTGGAGGGTGCCCTCCACCTAAAAAGGGTGCTCACGGCTCAGCCCCAGCCAGAGGCCTCTGTGTAGAGGTTTGGCCTGACTACTTGGGAATTGTGCTCAATGATTTGTTTCAAGAGAATCAGAAATCTGAATGTTTAGGTCCAATATCCTACACTGTGGAAGTCAGCTCCCTCTCTTCCTAGTTTCCTTTCTTTCCTGTTTGTACATCACAGGGCACTAATGGCCATGGGCGGCCACGTTAGGGCCCCAGTGTGAGGGCCTGGGCTCCAGGGAGGTGGGGTGGAAAGCCAGGGGGCACCTGCTCATCTGCAGCGGGTGTGGGCGGTGCCCGGTTCTCAGGGAACTGCCGTTGAACCCTGGGAACACTTGTCTGGCGAGGGATAACGGTGTGTGGGAGGTGCAATGGCCACGGAGCAGCAGGCCTGGCCGCCATGCCCGGCGGCCCTGTCTCTGCCACAGAGAAGTCTCTTCGCCTCCTGGGGACTCTGTTTCCGGGTCATGAGGTGAGCGTGCTCGATCGGTCGGTCTCTACGGGCCCTTCCCACTCAGGCTTAGAGGCGAATATTCTCATTGACCAACTCACTTTGGAAACTTTCAGGAAGCCTTTCTTTGTGATTCCAGAAAAGTCAGCGTTTTTGTCAAAGGCGTCCCGGATGCCCATCTTCGGGAGCACGGTTTCCAGGTCATAGGAGGTAGATGTGGAAAACTTAGGGATGAACACCTCTATCCACCTGGGAGGAGGGAAAGGAAGAGGTGAGGGCACAGGCCTGGGTCCCAGCTGTTTCCAGGTGACGTTTCAGGAGACTCTGCTCCCGAGAGGCCCTGCTGGTTGCTGCTGAAGGGCCAACACATGCCCGTCAGCTCACCAGGCTGTGCTGGAGGTGAGCCTCCGGGACGAGCAAGCCCAGCCCTGAGGAGGACAGAGATGGGAAAGAGGCCCCTGATGAGGGCGGGCAGAGCAGAGAAGGGGCCTCAACCAGGGACCCTCTGGCAGAGGCCACGGGCAGTGACGGCAGCGAGCCTGCCTCCCCGGGCCGGATGCCACCCACCAGCCCTTCTGGAGACAAACCCTGCTGACCTTCAAGAGCAGCCCAGTCCAATAGAACTTTCTGCAAAGTTGGAAATAGTCTCTGTCTGTGGTGTCCAGTATGGCAGCCAGCAGCCACATGTGGCGATCGAGCAATTGAAATGCGACTAGTGCCAACAAGGAACTTCATTTTTAAGTTTATTTTAATTAAATTTAAATAACCACCTGTGGCTGCTGGCTGCTATGTTAGACAGCACAGCCCTGGATTTGGCACTTCCCAGCCCCTCGGTAATAGTTTCCCGGAACCAAGAGTGAACAGCCCGCATTTATTGGGCATTTACTATGTGCCAGGCATTGTCTCAGGCACATTCATGAACTCATCTCCATTTTAGTGATGGTAAAGCTTAATTTTAGTGCTTTGTCCAGTCATGTGCTTAACAAGTCACAGAAATGTAAGCACAGAGTGTGGGTGCTACTCATTGATGGGCTCCTGGTGACATGGAGCACAGTGGACAGCTCTCGCTTCCCTGCCTTGGGTCTTGCGCTGGCTTGGCCATCTTCATCTTCTCTCTGCTCTGTCTCTTTACAGACACCCCCACCCCCACCGCCAGCCTCCACGCTGGCTCCTCTGCCTCCATCCAGCCCTGGTTGCAAGCTAAGAACAGGAGAAACCTGAGAAACCTCCTGCAGTGTCTCTTGATCCCCAACCGTACATCTTCCCTAGTGCTGTTTCCTTTGCCCAATATGCCTTTCCCAAGCTCTATGAGCTACCCACGCCTTCATGTTCTGTTCATCCTTGTGGCTCAAACGCACCACCTCCTTGAAGGCTCCCATCAGTCCAGCTGAAAGTCACCTCGCTTTGCTCAGAAGCGGCTCAGCACTCCGCCTGCTCCCACCCCTGGGCATTGATCTTTGTCTTTTCTGAACTATGTTATCCCTGATCCTTCTTTTCTCTCCTCCTAGACCATGCCCACAATGCCAGGACAGTATTGCTAAGAGATCAGACGTAAGACTCCTTTTTATCTTATGGTTAACATCCCTTGAGTACTACCCATAATTACAGAACTAATAATAATTTTATTATTAGCGAACACTTACTATCTCCCTGGCATTCTTCTAAGCACTTTATACATAGGAACTTGTTTTATCTTTTCAACACCCTCTGAGTTGAGTGATATTATTACCCTCATTTTGTAGGTGAGCACCAGTGCTGTGTGTGGGGGTCTTTATGGAATCCTGCCCTGGCATTAAACATCACAGCGGTGGTGGAGTCAGCTCAGCTAGCACAGAATAGCTACATGACGGAATAATTTCACAGAGGCGGGGAGCGTCGTGGCCTTGGGTAATTCACTCCCCTCTTGGAGCCTTGTTCCTGGCCTGCGAGTGGGGGTGATAACTCTCCTCATCCGCCCGGTGACTGTGAGGTTCAAGTGAGAACACTGACCCCCAGCACCGAGCTCCCTGCCTGGCGGGCAGCTGGTGCTCGCTTGCAGGAGTGATGATCGCACAGCTGCTGTCGCGGCCTCTCCTCATCCTGGGATGTTCACCGTCACCTGCCTCAGGCCCCAGCAAATTGACACAGGTGCCCACCTCTTCTTGAGTAAGTGGCTCCACTTCCTCAGGGTCCTGGAGGACAAGGCCTGCTCCAGCTGCCGCATCTGGCCTGGGCGGGGGAGGACGAAGAGGGCCGCGCTGCCTCCTTTGTAGTCCATCTGCAGCACAGAGCAGTTCAGCTCCGGATCCACGCCAAAAGCAAACTGCTCCACCTGGTGCATCATAGGGACCTTCACCGTGGTCTTGCCCACCACAAACGGGTACATTTTACTCGTATACGTCGGGTTAAAGGGCTTCTCCCACTTGGCTGCACAAAGAGAGAAGGAAAGTCTTGAGTCACAGTGAGGTGAAGAGCCAAGGATCTCTGAAAACTCACTCCAGCATGAAGACAATGAGCAACTCCCAACAATGATTAAAATTGCCTGTTCTAGAACTCTGGGCGTTAACCAAATGCTTTCAGCAAACAGAACCATCCATTGAAGAAAAACATATAAATTTTGGCCAGAATGGTCAGCTTTGGGTATTTAACTCGCCCTAGTTCCACTGCCTACACCCTTGACAAATAACAGCCTGCCTTTGCGGTGAAGTCCAGCCGCCTGACAGCCACGGAGGGCAAGAAACGGGCCGGAACCTTTTCAGAGACTCACTCTCAAAGAACTCTCATCATGTGAGCTGTCGTACGCTTCCCTGGAAGGCATCACTCACAAAGCTGTCTGTATGTGATCTGATTGGGAGCTCAACCAATGCAAAAAGCCCTGTCGTTTCCTTGGGGAAAATTAGTCAAAGATGGTTACAGGCACTGATAAATTGAGCAGCTTTCTGAGGCTTTAGATAACAATTAATTAATCAAAAAGCTTAATAGGACAGATGGTGGAGGTGGTATTTGCAAAAACGACAGAGTAAGGACCTCTGCATAGTCACCCTTTCATAAAGGGAACAAGAAGAACTGGCAGAATAGAACCAGCATTTTCAGAACACTGGGAATGTAGCAAAGGCTCCTAGTAACCTGGGGAGAGTCCATTCAAGAAAAATGGCTAAATTTCGATGAGAACAGTAAACTTTGTGGCATTTTAACTAGCATTAGTCTCCTCCTTCTCTCTCTAGCTCAGCAGGAGCTTTGAAAAATAGCAGACTCTATTCCCAGCACCAGAGGGAGAGGAACAGATATGGAGACATTTCAAAGCCTCATTCCCAAAGACTGATAATTATTTGACTGTCTGATAGTTTCCTGGACAGTCCCACTGCCAGGCGGCTCTGGCTCCTTCCCCTTGCCCGCCCGGCATGACCCAGGGTGACGCCCGCAGCTAGTTCCACCAGGGGCCATGCCCACACCCCGGTGCTGGGCCAGTTCCACCACCTCCCTGGAGCCACTGACAAGTTGATTGGCGTTCACTCTGCTAAAAGCACGTCTCCCCCAGGGCCAGGGAATATTTGCCAGGAACAATTAAAGGCAAGTGTTTTAGCTGCTTGGTTGCCTGGCGCAGGATAACAGCTGGGACAAACAACAGACTAATCCAAAAATCTAAAAGAAAAAGCCGAGGAAAGAGATGTCGTGGAGACTGAAGAGCTCAGTGTACCCTGGGCATTTAGATGCTGTGCACGTGGGTAACGCTCTGTGGATGTTTGAAAAAAATACATGAAGGCTGTAAGCTCTTCCCTCCAGTGGACCTTCCCTTCTGCACAAACAGAAACTGAACGGGGACTCAGAGTTACAAGCTGCCTTGGTGAGTGTGGATGGCATGCCCCACCGTACACACAAAGGCCCTCTGCTTATGTGTGCCAGGCCTTTAAGAAACCTCTGCCCGGTCATTTAAATAACCAAGAGGAGACGTCAGTGGCCACACGTGACCAAGAACAGACTTTAAAAATTAGTTCAGAAAAGCACCAAACAAACAGCTACTGCCACAAGCAATGAGAACAAACCCTTGGCAGGGGGTGCGAATCAGAATTCCAGAGCTGCCATATTACATTATTTTAAAAATCTAGCCTTTACAACAAAACATATTTGGCATAAAGAGAAACTAAGTATGGACCATACACAGGAATAAAAGCCATGTGCTAATACCAGAAACGAAAGAAGGAACACCACCACAGATCCTATGGACGTGAAAAAGAAAACAAAGGAATACTGTCAACAACTCTCTTCCCACCAAGTTGATAACCTAGATGAAATGTCCCATTCCTTGAAAGACACAATTTGCCAAAACTCACATAAGAAGTAGTAGACAATGTGAATAGGTCTACATCTATTAAAGAAGTTGACAATAATAACTTTTTAAAACAAAAAAAAATTACAGGCAGGGGCAAGAGATACGGCCCTTTCTCCAAAGGTCATTTCTAGAAAAAATACTTTCCCATGGGCTGCCCACCGAGCCTGATGTTAGCCCCTCAGGACACATAATCAGGCTACACAAGGACAGACCTGAATGAGCCCATTGCACTTGATAAACTGAGATGGCCAAGGTCATGCACCCAGCTAGTTCCAAAGCTAGTTCCAACGCGGCCTCCCCTGCTCTACCCGCTGTCCAGGGTCTGTCTAGCTTGCTTACTTGCCTGGGCTTGGGGAGGAACAATGTTAAAATCAAAATCAACCTCTCAGAGTCTCACCGTCAAAGAAGATGTAGTTCACCAGGACCATGGCTGTCTGAGGTTCAAGGTCCTGAATTAAGTCTACAACCTTCCCTTTGGTCTCCTTCTCCACGTAGCTGTTGATCCTCTTCCGGGCGGTGGGGCTGTCGGAGAAATCCGTGGGGGAGACCTCCGACCCGTACAGCCGCTTGGCGTTGTCCAGGAAGCTCGTCTGCAGCTGCAGCTCCCTTTTGACGAAGAGGACGCTCCCCATCCTCAGGTCCAGGTCCTCGCTGGGGACGCCGAGCGCGTGGACCAGGTGCTGGAAGCCTTGCTGCACGGCGGACTCGGGCATGCGCGTGAGGTTGAACCCCAGGCTCTGGAGGAGCTGGCTCTTGGTGGCCGAGCGGGCCCCGAGGGAGAGCATGGCCAGGGAAGCAGAGACGCTCACGGGGGAGAAGAAGATGTTCTCACTCGGGGTCTTCAACACCAGCCTCCGGTACAGGCGGAAGGCGAAGTCGGTGTTGCTGGCGGCCACCTGGGAGGCAGGGGTGCTCCTCGCGGAGGGTGGGCGGGGGGCTCCTTTGCTGGGAGCTCCTTTGCTGGGGGGACTGGGTGGGGACACACAATACATCAGAGCCCAGAGGCTAATAACTAGGAAAACTTGATAAAAGGAAGATGCCATTTTGGAACGAAGTAAGCCTGCAAGAGAGGGAAGAACATTGAGGGGAGGTAAGCCGAGCGTCTGGCTCCTGAATCAGAGGCCATGCAACCCTCCACACCAGGAGCAATTGAATGGGGACAAGCAGGACAGTTAGCAGCTCCCAGAGGGGGTGGTGTGTGGGGGGGGGTGGGGGGGGTAGACTGCAGAATCAGCTGTGCAGCGTGTGGCTGGATTCCTGTCTCTGGAGCCCGCCGGAAGGTTGATGTGGAGCCTGCCTCAACCCCAATGGCATTTTCAAGGACTGTGCGGGCAGCTGCGTGCGTCATTATTGCTCTGCTCACCTGGAATGGCCGGAGGTGAGTAGAGCGCAGTATTGGAGCTCACTGGGTGCCGGTGCATGAACCTGAGCTGGCAGAGCCTGGGCCCGTGTCTGCCCAGGGAGGAGGGCAGTGAGGAGGGAGGACCACGGTGCGAAGCCCTGTAGATGAGCTGGGGTCTTGGGGAAGCCATACGGGAATGTGGGCCTGCAGGACCCCTGTGATGGGCTGGGGTCTGCTGTGCTGATGTGGATAGTAATGGCTGATCACAGCACTTGACCATGAGTGAGTGGACCAGGTGCCGACCCAGAGTCAGAGCCTAAGCAAGACCACGCATTTCCTCACAACCTCACAGCGTGCTGTGTCTGAGGAACAGCCTGTGCAGTCGCCTGTGCCCTGCGTCGCCTCCTCCAGCCCCACATCCCCAGCTGCAGAGGAGGGTGGCTCCGAGGAAAAGTGAGACAGTCTGTGTGATGCCCACAGTGGGCATGGGAGGTGGGAAGGGACAGGCCTCCCCTGGGTGTTCATAACTGTGAGCAGGGACGAGGTTGAAGGAAGAGACGGCCAGCGGTGCCCTGGGGCAGAGAAGTCCCTCGGGCCTGGGGTGGGGCATCACAGAGCACCTGTCCCCTCTCTGGGGAGGCGTGGTGGGAATGGGGGATCCCAGGGGCACCTGCTAACACCGGCTCTGCCTCCCAGAGCGTCCCCCTTGCCATCAGCAGACGTGGCCTTGCTGGAGGACATCTGGCTCCGTGCCCAGTCCTGCTGCGTGGGACGCCTGGGCTGGGGGTGGCGGGGCTCTGCCTGGACCAGTCGCCCTTCTGGGCTCAGCTGGTGAATGGCCTGGTCCTGTCCTCCTGTTGTGGCCTGGCCTCCGTGTGATCTCAGGCAAGTGGCTGATGCTCTCTGGGCCTCAGGGTGGTGGCCTGAAGGGGCTTCCTTCCTGGGCAGCCGGGGTTCCACAGCCGTGGGCTCAGAGGCAGGTCCTTACACTCCCGAGGTCATGCTCAGCCCAGACTCCAGGCAGTTCTCAACCCGCTTCCATACTCGGCCTCTCCCACCGAGCTCTGGCCTCCCAGGGCCACCCCTTCTGTCTCCCAGCATCCTCTCTCCCAGGGCTTGCCTGTGGCCTGAGGCTCTGCAATCAGGGTGACAGGGACACTTTGTCCTCCCTGTGCCCACCCCATCTGCACCCCTCCCTGCGGCTGCCACTCCTCGGGTCCACCTGCCATTGTCTCACCCGCTCAGTTCCTCCCTGGTCCAGTCACCCATCCGCCCTGCAGACAGGTGAGCTTTCCAGATGCAAACCTCATGCGTCACTCTCCCACTCGGATTCCTCCGTGGCTCCCACTGGCCTTGGGAGGGGCGCCCAGGCACCCGGCACATCAGCCCCTCTCCCTGGGCCCGAGTAGTCCCGCCTCACCCTCAGGCAGAGCGGATGCTGTTTCCTGGGAAGGCCGCATTTCGAGGTCCACCCGCCCCTGCTTTCATGGGCCTTCCTGTCCAGCTTGGGTATCAAAAGGCTTCACTTCATCCCAAACCCCTCCTCACCCGGGGCCTTGGTGGCTGCGACAATGGCAAGGCCCTCGGCAGGCAGTCTGGTCCACTGCGGTCGCCAAGCTCCAGTCTCCCTCTGCTGCTGCCATGGCCCCCATGCCCACTGCCCACTGCCTGTGGGCGGATCGCAGCCCTTTCCATGTCCTGAGCATGGGCTCCCCCCTTATGTGGGTGTGCACACCGACACCCGCCCCGCCACACACACACACACTCACACACCAGGTGGCCTTGCCTCTTACCCCCATTGAAGAGAGCCCCTCAGAAAAGGAACCTCCTCCACCAAGGACATACCCTACTTTCCCCAGCAATCCTCCCCCCTCCCCTCCCTCCACCACCCTTCTCCCCCCTCCCCTCCCACCACCAACCTTCCTCCTGGAACCAGAAGCAGCCCTCATCACCGCCTCAGGGCCCTTCACCTCTCTTGTCCGCATTTATTTATTTGTTTGTTTGTTTGTTTTATAGTTTAAAGTATCACAGATGTCTCCTTTTTCCCCCATCGACCTCTCTCCGGCCACTCCCACCCCCAGGACAAGCCCCCACCGCCCCAGTGTTTAATACTCCCCCCAACCAGCTCCCTGCAATGGATTTTAAAGTCTTGCCCATCAAGACAACCGCCAATGACACAGCAAAGAGCTCATTCCCTTCTCGCTACTGCCCCATCTTTTTTCTATTTTTAAGATTTCTTTTTAATTAATTTTTTTAGAGAGAGAGGAAGGGACAGGGAAAGAGAGAGAGAGAAACATCAATGTGAGAGTGAAACAGTGATCGCCTGTCTCCTGCACACCCCCTACCGGGGATCGAGCCTGCAACCCAGGCATCTGCCATGCCTGGGAATCGAAGCAGCAACCTTTTGGTGCCTGGGACAGCACCCAGCCAACTGAGCCACACCGGCCAGGGCAACTCCTGCCCTATCTTCATCCCCCCGTCACAGCCCAAATCTTCATGAGCTGCGTGGTCACGGCTGCCATGGCCTCGCCTCCCATGCACTCCCTGGCCCGCTCCACTCTGGGTTCTGAGTGCACAGAAATGGGCCCAGCCCATGGACGTGTGTAGGCTCCCGTCTTACTTGACTTCTCAGTAGCACTTGGCACTGGAGACCACCCTCAGCTGCTTTCCCAGCCCCCCCTTTGGCTCCATGACACTGTGCTCGCCTGGATCTCTCTCGGTTCCTCCCCTTGGTCACCTTTGCTGGTGTCTCCTCTCCTGCCAGGTCCTCACGGGCTCAGCACCCAGCGCTTGGTCGCACTCTTCTCATTTTAATCTCTCCTCTCTCAGCACCACCCACTGCTCTATAACTAAAAATGCAAATGACTTCTTTTAACCTCCAGCCCAGACCTTTGCTCTGAACTCCATATATGTCACCACTGACTTGATATCCCCTCCTGATGTTGCAAACAAACCTTAAGCTCAGAATCACCCAAACGGAACTCACCTACCCCAACACCACCTCGCAACAAAAGTTACCACTGACACCGCTTTCAGTATCTCCTTCCATGGCACCACCACTCACCACTCATCCGCACCCCTCCACCCCTCCTTCTTCCCATGTCAACACACGCCTCTCCCGGTGCCCCAGCAGCCTCTCCTCTCCTTCCCTAGCGTGGGCAGCGGGATCTCTCACTGACCTGCGTGGTCTGGCCTCCGTCGGCCCCTCTAACTTCATCACCCAACTCAAAGGCCCTTGCTCGGGGCTGGGCTGCTCTGCCCAGCCATTCTGCCCGTGTTTATGATCCTCACGTGATATTTGCAGTTCCTCCTCATGGAGTGTTCTTCCTTCCCCCTCCTCAAACGTTCCCCCAATTGATTTTTATTTATTGTTTAGGTCCTACCTCGTGTGAATTCCTCGAGAAGGCTCTCTTTGACCACCCAGGTAAGGAAAATTCCTTCTATTAAATGTTTTTTAGTACCATGCGCCTCAGTGAAACTCCACTGTCATAATCTCCCATTCATTTGTGTGACTGGAAACTTAATCAAGGTGGTTGCCTCTCTTGTTCTCCCTGTACATCGCTGTATGGCCAAGGCTCAGGGCTCAGGGCGTGTTTGATGAGTGAATGAATGAGTACGGGAATGTAAGTGAGTAATTTACCTCTGAGGGTTGATCTGACTGGAAATGAGCAAGAGAGACTCTTTCAAGGCCTCTTAGTGCTAATGAAGGTGATAGGTATGTACACATATGAAATTCGAGTTGACTTACACTTCTGGCCAAGACAGTAACTGCCTTTGGACGTTTAAATCATTAGAAAATTTTCTAAAACACTCGAGACACTGAAGAAAACAAGAAGAAACAATCAGACATTGGGCAGCACGGGCGGAGAAGGGAGATGCGCGGGGGACCCTGTGGATGCCCAGTTGCTGCCCAGGGCGCTTTTCTGTCCAGGGAAGGAGCTGAGGCGCATGGCAGGCTCCCTGGGCCCAGGAGACGGAGCGCATTGTCTGAGGAAGGGCATGAGCTTAAGACCAAACCGGAGCTGAGCTCTGCGCGCATAAACCCTCTGAGGCTAGCCCCCAAAATAAAAAATGAATCCCCGAAGCCCCCAAACCAAGACAAGGAACTACCGGATGTACGCGGAACAACCCCCAGAGTTCACATAACGTGGGGAGATACTTAGATTATGGTCAGCGGGGGTGAGGAGACCTCATTGAATACCTGGGGCATTCAGGACAGAGCCTACTTGCTGCCTCTTGATGTTAGGGCTGAACTGACTGGTTTAAAACTGCTCTGGCCCGGCTGGCGTGGCTCAGTGGTTGAGTGGTTGGAGTCACAGTTGAATTTGCAGTCTGGGCACAAGCTTGTGTTGTGGGCTTGATCCCCAGTAGGGGGTGTGTAGGAGGCAGCGGATCAGTGATGCTCATCATTGATGTTTCTATCTCTCCCTTCTCCCTTCCTCTCTGAAATCAATAAAAACACATTTAATTTAAAAAAGCTACTCTAGTCTGGCTGGTGTGGCTCAGTGGTTGAACGCCGACCTATGAACCAGGAGGTCATGGTTCGATTCCCAGTCAGGACACATGCCCGGGTTGCAGGCTCGATACCCAGTGGGGGGGCGTGCAGGAGGCAGCCAATTCATGATTCTCTCTCCTCGTGGATATTTGAAGTGGGCGGCAAGGGCAGAGCAGCTCCCCAGGACTCCCCCCGCCCCTCTCCCTTCCTCTCTGAAATCAATAAAAATATTTTTTAAAAAATAAATTAAAAAGTTACTCTAGATCAGTGATGGCGAACCTTTTGAGCTCGGCGTGTCAGCATTTTGAAAAACCCTAACTTAACTCTGGTGCCATGTCACATATGAAAATTTTTTGATATTTGCAACCATAGTAAAACAAAGATTTATATTTTTGATATTTTTGATATTTATTTTATGTATTTAACAAAGAAAAATCAACGAAAAAAATGAGTTCGCGTGTCACCTCTGACACGCGTGTCATAGGTTCGCCATCACTGCTCTAGATACACTGACAAGGCTTGAAAACATGCAAGTACCTGATAATTAGTTGACTGTCAAAACAGGTGTCAACACACTATAAAGAAAGGTTAAAAAATCCAGACCAAAAAAGGGGAATGTCACAATGACCAGCATTCAATACAAAATTGCTAGATGTTTTAATAAATATAAAAATGTGATCCCAGACCAGATGGAAAAATCAGTCAATAGAAATAGACCCAGCTATAGCTGGGATTATGAAATTAACAGGCAAGAACTGTAAAACATCTACTTAAAATATGCTTAAGTAAAGAACACTGTAATATCATGTGAGAAAAGTCAAAACTATGAAAAAGCATCAAATCAAACTTTCAGAGATGAAAAATTCAATATCCAAAATGAAAACTCACTGGCTAGGTTTAAGAGAAAAGGTGTAGAAGAAAAGATCAGTGAGCTTGAAGACATAGCCATAGGAACTATCTATGGAGAGAGTGAACTGGGGGGAAAAAAATAATAGCAGAGCCCCAGCAGCCTGCGGGACAAAAGCAGGAAGTCTACCGTGGGCAGTTGGCGTTCTAGGCTAAAAGGGGCCAAGGAGACCAGAGAAACTTTTGAAGAAATAACGGCCAGAAGCATGTGTAACTCACTCTGTGTAAACTAATCTAATAAAGAAGACCAAACACAATAAAAGGGAATGAATGTGGCCCTGCCCACCCCCCCTTGTTGGATCTCACATGATTCCATCTCTAGATGGCCCTCCCCACTCACCCACCTGACAGGCCTTTCCATCCTGCAGCTCCTTCTGCATCGCCCGTTCCAGAGACTTCCCGAGTCCCACAGGAAGCCCGCCCTCCCCGGAGCAGACCACTCCTGAGCGCCCACTGCAGTTTACCTGCCCGTGTGTCTGTCCCCGGTCAGATCGCCTGGACCTTGTGTGACTTCCTCTAGAGCAGGGACTGTGATCAGCGAGTGACGGGACGAGGGAGCAGAATGCCGGGCGGGTGTGGGAGGACGCGGGAACCCTGAGGGCCAGGCTCTGTTGAGTCACCCACCCCCGGTACTTGAAGCAGTTGGCAGTCTGAATGAGTTTAGGGTTTCCCAAGCTTGGTTAATTGTCCAGAGAAACTGGTCTCATTAAAGTGCAGATTCCCAGGCCCCACCAAGAGCTACTGAGTCACTTTCCAGGGAAAGACCAAAAGACTTGGGAGTGAGGGGACCTGGGTCTTCCTGCCCCCCAAGCTCTGCCCTTGCCCCCCCCCCCCCCCGAGAGCAGCTCCCCAGGACTCCCCCCAGCTCGGAGCTCCTGTTCCTGGGACCTCAGGGCCTCCCGGAAAGGGAAGGCCGCCTCTCCAATTGATCGGACCCACCCAGCTCAATTGATTGGCACAGCGGGAGCAGGTGCAGACCCCGGAGCCTCATCTCAGGCCTGTTTCTCAGAACCTCTCCGCCAGGGCAGCCCTGGCTAGTCGCCGCTTTTCCTGACTCTGGAATCCCCTGCCTGCCTCACACACTTTAATGCTTCTGTCCCACTGCTGGATTGTGGAGATCTTCATATCACTTTTAAAACCTGGCTACATCTTCATATTTTTCTCTTTTAAATTATTTTAAAATTTCACCTATATTTGCTGTTGATTGCGGAGCAGATTCGGTGAGATTAAGTGTCTTAACTAATCTCACAAACCAAACCCTGGGCAGAGCGGGGCTGAGGCCTCCCAGCGACTCCAGCCCCTCCGAGGCCCGGCCGCAGTCCGCACAGGAAACACCACGGCATGCAGCGCCGTGGCTTGAGCCCAGGACAGACGGAGGGTGCTAGTGAGAACAACTGCTGAAATCCAAATACAGTTTATTTTTTTAATTATTTATTTCTCCGTTACAGTTGACATTCCATTTAACAAAGCAGAGCAGGCCTCGGCCCCGGCTGCAGCGGTGACAGTCTCAGTGGAATTTAATCAGAGGTTTGTTTTGTGTGTGTTTTTACAGTTGACTTCTCTTTGTGGCAAGTTGTCTGGGTTTTGATACTAATTTTTCAGTTTAAACACATTTCTTTTGTTTTTCTAAAGCTGATTTAAAGGTCAACCTTGAGCAGATAATAGTGCAGAATCGACGAGGCTTCTGCCTCGGCCGTGGGAACCGTCCAGGAATGAGTGAAACCTGGGAAACGAGCAGCAGCTGAGAGCGTGTTTCCCAAAGAGAAAGGTGCCTTGGCCTTGCTCCCCTGGCTGGGCCCGGCTGGGACGAAGCTGGCAGCTTGGGAACGCTCCCCGGGCTGGGCCCGGATGGGACGAAGCTGACAGCCTGGGAACGCTCCCCGGGCTGGGCCCGGATGGGATGAAGCTGACAGCCTGGGAACGCTCCCAGGCTGGGTCCGGATGGGACGAAGCCAGCCACGTGACCCCGAGCTCTCCCTGGGCTTTTCCCTGCCGGGCACACCACCTGGCACGTAGTAGATGCTCAGTAAACACCCGGTGACTCAGTGGGCGCATGGAAAGATAAACATGGAGGTGACACTTTGGCGCCAGCTGACTCCTGTCAGATGGGCCTTTGAACCCTGGCTTCCTGGCATTGGGCACTTCCATTCTTGGTTGGGGCTGAGCCCCTCCTGTCATCAAGAGCACCCCTGAGTGGCATCTCCTGGGCAGAGGCTCCAGGGCCCCGTCATGCAGCAGAGCAGAATCACAAAGCTCATTGTCTCAGCAGAGAGTGCCACTCCCAGGGAGGCCGACCTGCCCACCGCAGCCCCGCCAGCGCCTCTAGTCTCCCTGACCTGCTCCACTTAATGTTCCGATTCGTTTATGGGCCCTGTGGCCTACCATCTGCCCACAGCGTCCACAAGAACAGGAGCTCTGTACATGCTGTTCACGGCACAGGGTGACACTCAGCAAATATTTGCTGGATGAATGGACAAGTGTCCCAGCTCTGTGCTGCTTCACTGTGTGACCACAGGCGCATCACGTGTCTTCCCGAGCCTCACTTTCCTCATCCGCCGAATGGGCTGGTCACTAACTGGAAGGTCCGGCCGGGCGCGGGTTGGAGAACGCACCTCCACAGGCTCGGCTGGGAGAGGCACTCAGTGAGCCGGTGACGAGAAGCCAGGATCCACTCATTCCTGCTGGTCGGTCAGTCCACAAGCATGTGGCCCGAAGGCTTCATGGAAGGAGAAGGGTGAGTGACACCTGAGGGGAACGGGTGGTGTGGGAGAGCGGGGAGCGAGCAGAGCATCCGGTGGGGTGGAGGGTGGCCTGAGCAGAAGCGGGAGGCGGCTACACAGCGGGTGCGCCTTGCGGACTGGGGTGAAGAGCAGGCCTAGCTTCCCTCCCAGAGCAGAGCCGAGGTCTGGAGGGGCTGGCGGGCTGGGACATGGGGCTTGCAGCTCAGTCTTCCCTCACCACGACATGCACTGGGCACTGGGGACACAGGGAGCCCAGCCTCAGTCCGAGGGACCCTGACAGCAGACGAGTTTGCCTCGGTCACCCTCCAACTAACACCTGCAGCAGCTGTCCTGGGTCTCCCATGAGGCCTGCAGTCTCCTGTGGCCCACAGGCCCGAGCACCTCCCCGGCTCCCACCCCCTCCTGCCTCAGTCTGTTGCTCTGGCAACATGAATCTCATTTCACGTCACTGTCCATGCCACCTTCACACCCCAGGGCCTTTGCACATGCCGTTCCCTCTACTTTTGGTAGAGTCTCCCTCTGTCCCACCCAACTCCCCCCCCCCCTTTTTTTTCTTTCTCAGAATGAAAGTACGGCTGTGAAGTAGGAATTCAGCAAAAAAATATTTAAGATGTGCAGTAGTCGCCTTTTGAATAAAGTTAGTTTAAAAGGAAGATGAATAAACCGCTAGAGCTTGGACTCAATTTCTATTTGAAAGACAACCAGTACTTTAGGTATTTATTAAATCACAGCACTCCTCTGCCGCCGGGGGGTGGGAGGGGGAGAGAAGGGTGTAGGGGGAGGGATTACTGCCAGCCTGGAGGGAGGAGGAGGGGGGAAGGCAGGGGGGTCTAATCCCAGGTGTGAAGGCAGGGAGGGGCGTGCTTGGAGCTCATGAGGGGGTGGGAGCGGGTGCCGGTGAACCTGTGGTCGCAGCCCGGGGGGAGGAAGCGTTGTCAGCCCTGGGCCACGGGCTCTGCGCAGACTGCACCCCTCCTTACGTGCCGGTGGGGTTAGTGATCTTCCCCATGAAGAGCATGGTCGGCGTGAGGTTCTCTGCAATCATCAGCAGAAAGGCTCTGTTCAGCTTGAAGGTTAGCGGCCTCTCCATGGGCAGCGTCTGCATGCCGGAGCCCGCGGCCCCCTCTGCGCCCTTCTCGTCAATCTTCAGCTTGGCCTTGTGCACCGCCTGTGGGGACCGGAAGCGAGGTCAGTGTTGCCACACGACTCGGAGACCCAGGTGAGCCAAGGACAGCGGAGGCTCAGAGGGAGAGGCCGCAACCGAAGTTGCTCAGCTCAGCAGTCACCGCTGGTGCTGCCTCCCAAACTCCCGCTGTCACCTGTCACACTAAAGGGTACTCAGCAAGGAGGTGCAGCGTGAGGGCAACCAGGCGGGGGGAGCATCCCTGTGGGGCCGGGGTGGGGGCTGAGGGGGTGCTGTCCTTCCTGGGGATTACAGGGAAGCCAGTGCTGTGATGGCAGACAGTGTCTTTGAGCCTCAGCTCCATGGACGGGAGGTGGTGCCCTGCCTGAGGCCTCTGGCCCCTCACTCTCCTCTGCCCACCCGGTGGGTGGCTGGTGGGTGGTTACGAGGGAGCCAGATGCCAGGCCGGCTGTTGGACATGTCTGGGACCCTACATCCATCCCAGGACATCAGCACCTGAGACCAGGCGATCGACACTGGGAAACGGATGGGTTTCTGTGAAACGCTGACACATTTCATTCCATTTCACAGAAGCCGAACCGCTCCCAGCGGGCCAGGAGCTGTGCCCACACAGGCTCGGCTGTGGGCTCCCCCGCTGCGGAAGGACACGGCGCTGGACTCCGTGAGGCCTGCAGGAGGGGTGGCTGGTGCGACCCTTTCTAAGATGTCTGCTCAGGGAAGTTTAAGGTGAGAAGACTCTATTAGCTCTTTTTCTTCCTTTTGCAAACTGGAAAGTAACCCTGAGTTGGAGCTGGTCGCCAGCTCAGCATGGCAATTCGGATGCCTCCCCGATGGACCTGACCTTCACACTGAGCACCAGACAGCCCCCACCCCCACCAGCCTTGCGCCATGTGCTCCACTCCTGGAAGCTCCCCCCCCCCCCACCCCCGACTTCTGCATGTTGAAATCTTTCCCCCCTCAGTTCCCTTTTAACCCAATAGAAGGATTGCTAGATAAAATACAGGCCATCCAGTTACATTTTACTTTTAGATAAATGATGGAGTTTTTGTGTAAGTATATCCCATGTACTATCTGGGACATACTTACACTAAAAAAAAAAAAAAATCGTCACTTATCTGAAATTTAAACTTTCCTTTGTGCCTGTATTTCATCTTCTAAATCTGGGGACCCTACCCCAAGTGTGCCTCTCTGCTTGCTCCCGACAGGCAGGTGCTCAGCCTGCTGGAGGCCACAGGCCCTTTGCTTGCTCATCTCTTAATCATGCAGACCATGTGCACGACCTACTCCCATCAGGCCGGTAACGCCTTTGAGTGAGGGTCCGGCTCAGACCCAGACCCGTTCTAAGGCCTCATCAGTGTTCCAGGCCTTGAGCAAGTGTTTGTTGCACTGAATCGACTTCCAGAACAGCACCGGGAGTGGGTGCTCATTTCACAGCCTGAAAGCATGAGGCTGGGGAGGGTCGAGATCCCCCGGGAGCACATGGGCTGGAGTCGAACCCGGCCTGACCGTGGGTGGCTTTCCGGCTTGTTCGGCGGCTGGGCAGGGGGCTCGGTGAAGGATGGGGGCCTGTGCCCCAGGGGCGATGCCTAGGCCAGGCAGGCTTACCTCACCCACTTTCAGGCTTCGATTAGGGACTATCCTGATGAGATCGCCATGTTCCTGGAAGATCTTGGTGATGCCCAGGTGGGAGAGGGTCTTCTTTAGGTCGTAGGTGCCAGTGATGGAGAACCTGGGCAAGGACACGTCCACAACCCTGGGGAGCGTGAGGTGACAACGTGAGGGCAGGCCCCAGGGTAGGGGGTGAGCGAGACATTCCTCCCAGACGTGGAAGCTCAGGCTGTTTCCTACCCACAGAATGAGGAGGGTCTCTCAACCCTTCACATGCCCAGCCCCGAGCTGCCCCGACCCGGCAGGCCTGACACCAGCGGCAGCGAGGCCTGAGCTCCCAGCAGGCAGCACCGGTCACAGCCACTCGGAGCTCATGCCTCACTCTCTAAGCCACCGTGCGACCATGATGGTGCCCATGGCACCCAGGGCAGTGAGCGCTCATGCGGTGCTCGGAGGCGCTCGGCAGTCAGTGACCAGCGCGTGCTCACCCCAGCCCTGGAGTTAGCAGCTGCACATCCTCTGAGGGTGGGCCTTGGGTTCCTGTCCTCGGGCCCTGAACCCCATTTCTGCTTGCCTCTCCAAGAACCCAGGTCGCCTTGGTCTCCTTCCTCTCCGCACCCTCATAAATGGTGTTGACTTGACCATTCTCAGGAGCAGAGCCCCTGCTGTAATAACCCCCGTCCTAAAAAACAAAACTTCTCTGCTGGGGCCTGGCTGGTGTGGCTCAGTTAGTTGAGCATCATCGCATGCACCGAGGGGTTGCTGGTTTGATTCCCAGTTGGGGCACATGCCCAGATTGCAGGCTCAGTCCCCAGGAAGGGGTGCGGCAGGAGGCAGCCGATTGATGTTTCTCTCTTGCATCAGTGTTTCTCTCTCTCTCTCTCTCTCTCTCTCTCTCTCTCTCTCTCTCTCTCTCAAATCAAGAAAAACATATTGAAAAGAAAACATCTCCTGTGGCTCTGAGTCACCTCTCCAGCTTCCAGGCCACATCTTTTCTTTCATTCACAGCAGAAGTTGTACCTACCACTTCCTCCACGTCCTCTCATCATCGCCCCAGCCCACTCTAATCAGGCGTGTCCTCCACATGCTACCAAAGCAGCTCTTCCCAGAGTTGCTGCTGACCTCCGCTTGCTGGGTCCAACAGCGAGCTCTCAGGGGCCAGCACTAGACAGCTGATCCAGCTTTCCAGCTTTTTAAAAAATATGTTTTTATTGATTCAGAGAGAGGAAGGGAGGGATAGGAACATCAATGATGACAGAGAACCATTGATCAGCTGTCTCCTGCAGGCCCCACACTGGGGATTGAGCCTGTAACCCAGTCATATGCCCTGACCGGGAATCAAACCCTGACTTCCTGGTTCATAGGTCGATGCTCAACCACTGAGCCACGCCGGCTGGGCCATCTTTCCATCTCGAAGCACTCCAACCCGAGCCCACGCCCTCCAGCTCTCTCCTCCCTTCAGCAGCCACCCCCTCTCGCCTTTGGCTGCCTCCACCCTGTCACCTGTCGCATTGCTGTGATGCTCAAGTCTCAGCCCTCGGTCTCCTTTTTTCTCTCTTCTCCTTCCCTGGGGATCTCCTGCATTGTCATCGCTTTAAATGCCAGAGACAGGCTCAATGACTCCCAAACTTACCTTCCCCTCCATCCAGTCATTCAGTATCTATTAAGTGCCTGCTGGGTACCAGCTGCTGTTCCCATTGCTGAGGTACATCTATGAGAGGAACAGGCAAAACCCATGCCCCCGGACTTGTTCTCTCACAGGAAGACAGGCAATGAAATGAGCAGAGGAGAAAGGAGACATATGCACTACTCTCTGTAATACTTTAAACCAGGGGTCCTCAAACTTTTTAAACGGGGCCAGTTCACTGTCCCTCAGACCGTTGGAGGGCCGGACTATAGTTTTAAAAAAAGAACTATGAACAAATTCCTATGCACACTGCACATATCTTATTTTGAAGTAAAAAAAACAAAACGGGAACAAATACAATATTTGTATTTGCATGTGGCCCGCGGGCCGTAGTTTGAGGACCCCTGCTTTAAACAATAACATTTAAAAACAAGCCAACGTGGCAGAGATGCGGACAGGCAGCCTGCGTATAAGAAGGCAGGATGTGATAGGGAAAACACAGATGAACTCACAGGAGCCAGGAATGCTGGAGCAAAGGGCAGGTTTGGGCACTGCATGGAGGCAAAGGAGGCAAGTTGGTTTTGTTTTTTTTCTGGGTGAAATGAAGATCGGCCAGAGGGTTCCGAACAGGGAAGTAACGTGGTCTTGCTGAGGGTTTAAAAGGATCATTTCGTCAGCTCTGTTAGGAATATCCTCTTGATGGTGAAGGGCAGGGCCCAGAGGTGATGCTGGGAGACCATTTGGAAGATGTTCGGGTCCTAGAAGTGGGAAGGATCAGGCTCCAGATATATTTCAAATGGGGCTGACGGGGTCCCTGGCAGACTGAGGGGCCAGGGGAGAGGAAGTGGTCAAGGAGGACCCCAAGGTTTTAAACTTGAGCAACTAAGAGGATGGAGTCACCACCGAGGAGACAGAAGCTGGAGGAGGTTCCCTAAGGGGAGATGGGGATGTTCCTTCTGGACACGTTGGGACTGAGATGTCTCAGGCATCCAGGGAGGTCCTGGGTGAGCAGACGGATGTGTGACCCTGGAGACAGGGATAGGGTAAGAGCCCAGTCACCTGGGAGAGAAGAAGTAGAGAGAGTAGGCGGAAAAGCAAGGAGGAGGGAAGGGAGGAGGACGGAAGAAGCTGCATACACCAGACCCCCTTTACCTCCGCACGATTAACTTCTTCCATCTGTCAAAAGTGTCCAGCTTCAGGGCCTCCTCCACCCGCCGCATGTTGCCCTTGTCGGGAAGAACGAAGGTGGCCGTGATGTTGTGGAAGTAGGGCATCTCCAGGACGGTGCAGCCGAGCTGCTCGTCATAGCCCATGGCATACATGCCCCCGTGGAACATCATGGGCACCTTCACGGGCCTGTTTTCATCCAGAAAGAAGTCTTCCTCTTTAGTTGATTTTGGGTCAAACTCGTGTAGCCACCTGGCTTCAGATTGAAGGAGGACAAAGCGGTGTGAGTGTCCTGAAGGAGAAGGGACTGGACCCCGATAAGCACTGGTCTCTGTCCTCATGCTGAAGTTCAGGGAACGGGTTTGGAGGCTCTGGGATATCAGGACTTGTCCTCAGGAGTCCCTGTTCTCATGACATGCCCTCAAGACTTCCGGTGAGGTGGGCTGGGAGTTGACTACCGGTTCCCATAGAAGCCAGGCCTGGGGCTGCTGAGCCAAGAGGAGAGCTTCCGGCAGCCCTAAGCCCAGGTTACCCCTGAGGGTGAGAAAGGCTATGGACTGTGTCCCAGCAAAGGGGACTAGATTATACTGAGTGGGGTGATCTGGGTCTGAAGTGAGTGACAATGCCCAGCTTTATTCTAAGTCAGCCCTGGGGTTGCTGCTCTCACACGGGACTGAGCACAGTGATGGAACGTCTGCCCTTGGGAGCCTGCTGAAGAGAGTGAACTCCCAGAGCTGGGTGTTTGGACCCTCCTTTTCTATCCTGAGGATTCTTTGATGCTGTTGGGCATAAACCCAGACCTGGGTCTTTGCACTACCTTCAAAGACCCACCGTTCAAATTCTCACTTCTGTTCTACATGGATAACCTTGGGCAGGTGTCTTACCCTCCCTGGGCTTCAGTGTCCTTCTATGGAAAGGGAATATTGATGGAGACCTCCTAGGGCTGCTGAGAGCCTGGGGAAAGGTTGCACAGCGTAGTGACTGTGTATAGTAAGTGTTGAGTGAATGCTAGTCATCATCTGCATCATCATCACCATGGTCCTTGTAATCTAGGGGATGCAGGGACTAAAGGAATTTCCAGATTCCCCTTTCTTCCTCTGCTTTGGGAAGACTGAGATTTCAGTCTGCCATTTTCACTCCCTCTCCACTCCCCCACTATTGCCACTCATCTCCCTGTGGATTTTGGGAGAATTGAACTTCCATGTTCAGAACCATCTGCTGACAGCCCAGCAGTCATCTTGTGTGGCCTCAGGGCTGTTGGCCTCTGATTCTTAACTATGTTGGCCAACCTTTGTGTGAATGTGTAGGTGTGTATGGTGGGCGGGATGATGCTTGGATTTGGGAATATTCTTCCACCTTCATTTTCACTCTTACCCTGAGACTTGAGAATCTACAGGGTTTGATAGGAGATCAAAGCAACCACCAAAGTGGTCATCATCACCATCACCAACAACACGATCACCATCCCAGGCATCTACTTAGAATGATGGAAAGTGCACATCTCCTGGGCCAAGAGAAGTGGGTTTGAGTTCTCACTTCCATTGACTGGCTTTGTAACTGAGTAAGTCAACTAATGTCTCTCTAAATTTCACTTTCCTTTTCTAAGAAATGAGGAAAAGAATGTCACTGCAACCTCTGTAACCAGTGTTGTGTTAGGATAATCAGTAATGATGAAAAGCGCACATGGAGAGTATTTAGACTTCACAGAGTTCATTGTGCATACATTTTTGCTTCGAATACCCATGACTGCCCTATGAGTTATGTAGCAAGGTACTCATTTTGCAGATAGGAAAAGTGAGCCTTTGAGAGATTAATCACTTATGAATTCAAGGTCACAGAGCAAGCAGGTGGCCAACCCTGGTTTTCAATCCAAGTCTACTGGTCATGTTCTCTTTTCCATGCCAAGGTGTCCCTAGCCTTACCTCGAAAGTAAAGACAGTTGACAAGAAGCATCACAGTGCCAGGATCTATATCCTTGACCAGGTTATTGATTTTCCCCTGGGTTTTCTGACTGACATAGTCATTGATCTGCTTCTGAGCATTTTTGATGTCCTGGAAGTTGGTGGGGATGCTGTCTGCATTGTACAGGTTCTTAGCGTCTGCCATAAACCTCTTCTCTGGCCGCAGCTTCCGGTCCAGGAACAAGGTATTCTCGAGGCTCAGCTGGAGGCCCTCGGTCTTCTGGTTCAGCCTCTGGATAAGGTAATGGAAACCCTCATGAAGGTCTTTCTCTGGCATATTCCTGAAGTTGAGGCCCTGCTGGATCTCAGCCAGCGTGGAGTTCTGGGCACCCAGACTCAGCATGGCGAAGGCGGTGGAGATGCTCATGGGGGAGAAGAAGATGTTCTTGCTGGGGCCAGTGGAGGCCATCCTCTTGTACAGCTCGAAGCCGAAGCCCACGTTCCGCCTGGCGAGCTGCTGGGCTGCCCTCCTGCCCTGCTGCTCTTGGTCCCGGCTCACGGCGCCATGATTCTTTGGGGAAAAGCTGGGCTCCCGAAGACCTTCTACAGTGAGGAAGCCAGCCAGCAGCAGGCCCAGGCCCAGCGTGAAGTTCATCTTCCTCGGAGACTGTCCTGTGGAGGAGTAGACCTGCGGTTAGTGGGGAAAAGAACAAAAGAGCCCCACTGCCCCTATCTTACCCGCGAGGAGGACATGAGAGAAGCAGTGCAGTGCCTCGTGCGTGCTGTGCGCAGCGGTTTATCAGCGCGTTGGCGTCCATTATAGCATTTCACCCAGACCGTCGCCCCAGGACAAGAAAGGATTGTCCTCCTTCATAACTGCGAGGCCTGACCAGAGGAAACAGCTCTTGTTTGTGTCCCCATCTTCCCCATCGTAGGGTGACAGAATCTCAATTCCTTTGAGGAACTGCCCCCTCTACTCCACTGGGTGACAAGAAGGAAATGCCACAGCGTGGCCACGTGACCCCGGTGAGGCCACCATAGTACTTCACCTCCTGCCACACTGATTGGTAAAGAAATGTGAGTGTTTCCCAAATCAGATCAGTCAGTGTCTTCCCCTGGGAATGTACAGGCGCCTTCACTCTGAGGGTCTGGCTTAATGATGCAGCCCTAGAGCCTAATGTGGCCCTGGCTTCCGTGTGTAGAAGGAGAGAAGAGAGAGCGCGAGAGAAATGGGGAGAAATACTTGGTGACATCTTTGGAGTCCCTGGATCAAGCTTTACCTAAAGACCAACAACCTCTAATTTCCCAAGTTATGAGCCAATAAATTTCCTTTTGAGGGTTGGCTGCTATGAGTTGGATTTTTTCCCTTACAACCAAAAGAGTATTGACTAATTTGTAGAAGTCCAGCGCTTGGTCTGGGATCCCCTGTAAGTGGGGACTATGCACTCCAGAACCCAGGTCTCTATCAGACCTTCTTCCCTGTATTGTTCCCGGGAAGAGAAGGGGCAGCGTGATGAAGAGGACAAGTCCTGGTGGCTGCAGGACTGCTGCTCCTTTCACCACCTCTCAGCGTGGACATCTCCCCACAGGGCTGTGAGCTTCGGGGGGACATGCTTTTCATGTTTTATTCTCCCTTCACCGTGAGCTCTCATGCTGCATAGAGCTGCCAAAAGCCCGGTCATCCCCAAAGCTTGCTGACTTCTCTAGTTGGCCATGCTGCTATCAGTGATCTTTACACCAACTTGTACGTCAGCTAAAGGCAGATTTCTTTGCTTGGTCCTCTGTTCTCTCTATGTTTTCTTTCCTCAAATTTATATCTTCCTGGATCTGAGCTGGTGGGGAAGAGCGAAGGCCATCTGTGCTGTGTTGGCGTGAGCTCCTGAGAAGCAGAACTGAGATGAGGAGTCAAGCGTGCGTTACTTATTGAGCGCGTGCTCTTAGGAGGAGTGGGAAGTGAGGGGAGCAGGTCAGGAAAGGGACGGAGCCAGGAGGATGTGGCTGCTACAGGTAACATCCAGCCTTGACCTGATCCACAGGGGCAGGCCCTGGAGCCAAAGCACATGGCGACATTGCGCCCATGAGGCAGGGTTCTGGCTTTTCAGAGGGGATCCGTCCGTCAGTGGCTGTGTCTGCCCCAGGGTGCAAGGGCTGGGGTGTCACTTGCTATCAGACAAGGGCAGTTTTCTGGAGTGGGGAGGGCAACAGTGAGCGGGCAGCGGCCCACCTCAGCACCACAGCCTAGGGGAATGGGCCCAGCACCGGCAGGTCCCCCAAAGCTACGTGGAGGGGCTTCTTTCTATTGACTGAATGCGGGAGCACCATTTCCCCAAGTGGGTTGTGCCCCAAACCCTCTACGCCGGGTACTGTGGACGGAGCCATCATCAGAGCAAAATTGGTCTTCAAGAGGCTCGTGGTGGAGTAAGAGCATGCTAGCGCATATACTCGCCGTGCCCACACCCCCTCCCTCAGGCAGCCCAGCGCCCGGGGACAGAGGACCGTCCCCAGCCCGAAGGGGCGCTGGTTGGGTGACCACAATTCCCCTCTAGTGACTGGTCAGGAGTTGGCCCGGATGCAGTCAGCCCACTGAGTTCCACCCTGACCGGATGGGGCGGGGGGGGGGTGGCGGGGTGAATCGCAGGCTCTTTGCTGAGATGTTAGGACGCTGCCCTGTTCCAGCCTCTGGTGTCCTGGGAAGGAAGGTGTAGACGCCAGGGGCTTCCATAGCCATGTGCCCGAGGAGAGAGTGACCTGGGACAGAGCCAGAATATAAAGAGGGTGCACGTCAGGGCTCCGCAGAGACCCTGGAGCTGGGCCACCCTGAGCCCCTGCCGCTAGCTTCCAGTGACGCTGGCGTGAGTTACGTGGTCAGTTACTGAAGCCAAAAGCATCCTGACAAATACAAGTCTTTATTGATTTTTGGAGAGAAAGGGGAAGAGAGAGAAAGAAAATCAATCAATTGCCTCCCACACGCACCCCGACCAGCCATCAAACCCACAACCAGGGCATGTGCCCTGACCGGGAATCAAACCAGCGACCTTTCAGTGCATTGGATGATGCTCAACCCATTGAGCCACTTGGTATATGCACCAGGAAATCAGGAGTCCCAGCCCTGACCGTACGCCTATTGCTGTGTGACACTGGGGAGAACTCCCCCCCCCCCCCCCCCCCAGAGCCTGGTGATGTCTAAGCACCCTTCTCTCCCAATGACATACTTTTTCAGTAAAAATTAAAAATAGCTGGTGATGAACAAAGGCTCAGAGATGGTCTGGGAATAGATTAGAGAAGAGAAGATCAGTAACCCCCAGGGGTGTTTCAGAAAGGAACAGACATAGAAGATGGGGTGGCTTCGGTCTCAGGTGCGTGGGCTGGGCTGGGGAGGAGTCGGCTGGGTTGGGATGGAGCTTCACGTTCTCGGGGTGGGTGGCCCTCCGTGGGCACCACTCCCAGAGCCCAGGGTGGAGGGGATCAGACATCCGTGAGGAGCTCCGAGGGCACCCTCGCGGGGGCTCACCAGCCTCGGAGCCCCTGCCAGGCCTGGCCCGGCCCGGAGCCGAGAGGAAACTGCTCGGAGCTCCATCCAGGAGCACTTTCAGGCGCAGACACCCACATGGTTTGCAGCAATGCCCAGGCGGACCGCCCCCCCCCCCCCGAATTTCAGGAACAGGAACTGATTATGGAAGTAGGAGCCTGCACGTTGGTCTTCTCCGGCTTAGGGTCTGGAGGCTGGCAGGCAGCCTCCTTGCCCTCCAGAGCTTCAAACTGTCATCTCCTAGATGGCGGGGGCGGGGGGTAGGGGGGACGACGACTTTGGCCTCCTCCCCCTCGATGCTGCTCCACAGCTCCCAGCCCTGGGACACAGTCTGCACCTGCCAGGTCTCAGCTGCCCCCACCTCTAAGCATTGGATCTGAGCACCGGCCTCCTGCCCAGGCCCCCGTGTGCCCACAGCCTGGCCTTCCCATCCGTCATCACAGGCCCTCCACTGACCCAAACGTGTCAGATGGGTGGGTACCCGTCCCAGATGCCCGAGGCTCGTTTTTGTTTATTCCATCAATTAAAATAGCTGAGCGGCTGGTTATTTCCCAAGAGATGGATAGACACCCAAGTTGAGCAACTCTCTCTCGGTTTGTATTTTGGAGGGTGTGGGTGGGTGGGAAGGTGAGGGGGCCGGCCTGTCTCTAGATACAGTAAGTAAACAAAGTGAAGGAGAAAACACAGAAACCAAGGCCGTGGCAGGACTGCAGTTCTGACTCTCAGGCCCAGGCTCCTCCCCGGGACCCGGGGGCATGACTTCCTTCCCGTCTGGAAAGAAAAGAACACGGGCTCAGGAGGCACTCCTCCTGCGGACAGCTCCAAGCCAGCGCGCCCCGCAAACCCGGAGCCGGGCCTGAGCTCCGTGCCCCGTCTGCGCAGGAGGGCTTGCCCTCCAGAGGGCTCTCAGGGGGGCAGCTCCCGATGAGCTTAGCAAGTGGGATCCGCCAATCCAAGCCCCGAAGGGGTGGGGACAGTGAGATGTGGTAGCACTTTTAACAACAGTGACTCTGATGTTAGGAAGCACTTGCAGCATGGAACAGACTGGCATACCTTGGGGGCGGGGGATGAGGAGCGATAAACCAAAGAACTCATCTACTTATATGCACAGCCATGGACACGGGCAGTCGGGTGGTGACCTGGAAGGGGTGGGGAAGGAGCTGGGAAGGAGGGGGAGGGGAGGGAAATTGGGATACATCTGTAATAGTATCAACAATAATGTATATATATTTTTAAAAAGCCCTTTCACACTCGTCATCGCCAGAAGCCTGCGGAGAACCCACACCACACGCGGAGCGCACGGGACACAGGTGGTCAGGCCGAGCGGCTCAGAGCCTCCTCCTCAGCGAGCAGGGACCGCGCAGCCCGCCCGCCCCTCCGGGACAGCCCCGCCATGAGGCTGACGGGCAGGAAAGGTTACGTGTGTCCGTCCTCACGAGCCAATGAGACTGCGAGTTCAGGATGCTGCGGACGCGTTCCCATCCTGTGAGCCTCGTGAGCCATCTGCCAGCTGGAGAGCCGCTCACTGCCGGGCCCTTTCCTGCCCCGGCTGGACGTAGGCCTCCTGCCCCAAAAGGCCCCGGCCCTCGGAGACCAGCCCTGCCCCGTCCTTCCCGGAGTTCCCGGAGCGTAAGCACGTGGGTGACCTAACTGCCTTTACCCGCGTGACGCCCGGTCCTCCCCAGCGACGTGCACTGGCCTCGGAGACCCGCAGGAAGCCCTGGGCTGGAGACCTCGGCGTGTCTGTGGTCCGAAATTCTAAGGCATCGACGTTGTTTTAAGCGGAGATCACGCTAGACATTAAGTGGTTATTACTGATTTTTAAAATACTTTTACTGATTTCAGAGAGGAAAGGAGAGAGACATATAAACATCAATGATGAGAGAGCATCACTGATCGGCTGCCTCCCGCATACCCACGACTGGGGATCGAGCCCGCAACCCGGGCATGTGCCCTGATTGGGAATCAAAAGTCAACCTGCTTCATAGGTCGACGCTCAACCCCTGAGCCACGCCGGCGGGCGGTTCTTATTTTGTAAAGTGAGTGATGGTCAGCCCTACCTTCCTAACTCTGTTGGAGGCGAGAGAAGAGCGGGAACTCCACCTCCTGACCACTGTGGTACACGTGGTCCGCCCTCCTGCGAACCGACACAGACACGTCACCTCACCTCGAATCTGGCCCTGGAGACCTCTGCCTTCATTCTTTAAGAACTATTCTGAGCCCTTGCTGTTTGGTGCCAGGCGCCGGGCCGTGAGCCAGGCCCGAGGACTGGTCTGTGCCGATGCTGCCGACCGACCCGCGGCCTTCGGAGCCCCAACACGGTGCTCTCCTGAGAGGCAGCATCCCCCCAGCCTACGGGCCTCTCCAAACCCTCCCTCGAGGTCAGCTCTCTGCCTGGCCGTGCCTCCCGCCCTCACGACTTATCCTAGGGCAGTGATGGCGAACCTATGACACGCGTGTCAGAGGTGACACACGAACTCATTTTTTTGGGTTGATTTTTCTTTGTTAAATGGCATTTAAATATATAAAATAAATATCAAAAATATAAATCTTTGTTTTACTATGGTTGCAAATATCAAAAAAGTTCTATATGTGACACGGCACCAGAGTTAAGTTAGGGTTTTTCAAAATGCTGGCACGCCGAGCTCAAAAAGGTTCGCCATCACTGTCCTAGGGCGAGGGGACACGTGGGTGTGCAAGGGCCGGTGAGCATCCCCTTCAGGCCCACTTGTGCTCGGAAGGGGACACTGAGTCCCAGGGAGGACAAAGGCGCGATCTGCGCTCACACCCAGCATGTTGGGAGATGGAGTGGGGACCGAGACGTCCAGCGATTCTGCACAAGTGCAAGGAGCGAGCCTCCCTTCCCGGGGGGAGTAACCAGCGTCCCCCTCAGGGAGGCAAGCCGACGCGGGAAGCCCCCAGACACGGCTGGCGTGGCCACAGCCGTGGGGCAGGGCGGACCCGATAGGAGGCCCCTCGTCTCCCCAGACAGGCCGTTCCCCCAGCCACCCAGGACTGTCCTCTGGAGAAGCACTGGAGGGCGGCACCGGAAGCCAGGCGCCGTGAAGACGAGAGGGGCTTGCTTCCCAGACTTGGGGCTCCCGGGACGCTCTGCAGGAGCCCACCCGGTCGGTCGGGGCCTTCCTGTGATCTGAGCCCCCCCTTGACACGGACGAGAAGCCCGCGACCTCTGCAGAGGGAAGGCAGACTCACCGTGCGTTCCGGAGACGTCCCGGAGCCAGTCCGATGGGTCCCGGTCGCTGGCTCTCCTCCCTACACGCCCATGGCCTCTGGAGCAGCAGACCGAGGCCGTGCCTGCGCAGATGGGCAGGGATGGAGCTGGGAGCAATGGCCACTCACCTCTGGGACTTCTTGCTCCCCAGGCAGAGTGGCATTCAGACCACACCCGCTGGGTGGTGGCTTCCCTAATGAAGTCCATTCTTTTTTTTTTTTTTTTTCCCAATGACTGTTATTTCCCAATAATTACCTTAGCTCACCTGGGGATCTTCTGGGGAAGAGTACACAAAAGAGATGAATAGACAATTAAATACAAAGTCTCATGAAGAGTAACAGGAATCAAAAATTCACATCAGCCCTGGCTGGTGTTGCTCAGTGGATAGAGCATCGGACTGTAGACCAAAGGGTCCCGGGTTCGATTCCAGCCAAGGGCATGTACCTCGGTTGCAGGCGTCTCCCCAGCCCAGGCCCTGGTCAGGGCGAGTGTGGGAGGCAACCAGCCGATGTGTTTCTCTCACATCGATGTTTCTCTCTGTCTTTCCCTCTCTCTTACGCTCTTTCTAAAAATCAATGGAAAAATATCCCCTGGTGAGGATTAACAACAAAGAATTCACATTGAAGTGAAATTTCAAGTTGGTTTCTGATTGCGTGTTTGTTGTTCTGGAGTAGTGGGGCTATGGTTGCCGCCCCCCCCCCCCCCATCTTTCTGTTTTCCGAGTTGTCTTGAAGGAACAGGTATTACTTTAGAATCCATTTTTAAAGATTGGAAGTAAAATGGAGCTCTTGGCCCTCTGAGATGGGGCTGAGAACCTTCCCAACGCCCTGATCCTGGGATGGACGCCATGAGCCCCCGCCCTCCTCTCAGCCCCGCAGTCTCCGATGGACTCAGGGAAAGCCGCCGAGAGGAAGGAGAGGCTCACCGCACCCGCCTTGCGCTCACAGACCCACCCGCCCGCGGTGGGTCCCAGGCATCAGGGAGAGCCACTGCAGGAGGCCGAGCTGCCCCCTTCCCTCCCCCAGGGAGGCAGGCCTGTCGCCCCAGGGAGGCAGGCCTGTCGCCGAGTGGCCAGATGCAGTGGGAAACCTCGCAGCCGGGTCCCTGTCACTGAGGGTGCACGTGGCCAGACGCCCCTGACAGAGGACAAGCCGAGGCGGTGGCAGCTGAGAGCCAGCCAGCAGACACTGACCCAGAATCTGGGTCTGCGCCCTGGTTTGGAGGGGAAAACCCTGCCTGCTAATGACTGGGTGAGGCCTGCGAGTCTGTGGGCCACACCCGCGGCCCGGCCCGGGCACACTCAGTGGCAGGCACACTCCCAGGGCAGCTGTGCGGGAGGGTCGCTTCAGCAGGAGGGGCTGCCCTGGGGAGGCCTGGGCGCAGACAGGGCCCAGAGCCCGGGGCCATGAGGAAGGTGCCACAGGTGGGCTGGAGCCGCCGCCCATCAGGGCCAAGAGTCTTTGAGTCTCGCCTCAGCCAGGGGAGCCCACAGTGGGGAACCCACATGGGGAACAGTGGGAGCAGGTGGTTGGAGGACCAGTCCCTCCCAGCGCCCATCGGGGGCACAGCCTCGACCCGAGGCTGCCTGACCACCTGTAGCTGGGAGGGCCCGAGGCCCGTGGAGTGGGGGCCTGGCGTCCTGGAGGGCTGGAGGGAGAAGGAGATTTTCCGGTCCGGGGACATTTCGGGCAGCTGACGGACAGGGCCGTGGCCACCAGGGGAGAGGCGCGGCATGCCTGCAGCCTGGCCGTGTGTAGGCGTGTGACGGGGGCGTCCAGTTTCACCCTGGCCTTTGGCTCTCCCAGATGCTGGGCGGTGAGAGACCGAGGGATGTGTGAATGACCGTGCCGTGTCCTGACTCCAGAGCCAGGTGGCTGGGCGCACAGGGGAGTTCGCAGACACGGCTGCGTTTGCTAAAGGCGGAGGCAGAGCTGTCTCTGGGAGAGAAGGACATGCAAGAGGCACCTTATCCCACTGAAGGGTTTGGGACAGCCTCACAGGCGGGCACTCGATCTGGGTTCTGAAGGGTGAGTAGGAGTTCTCTAGGTAAACAGTGAGGGCACGAGGAGCACAGCAGAGCACCTGCAGGTGAAGAGAGCGCGAGACCCATCAGACAGGATGCTGGTGAGCTTCAGGCTCCTCCTCTGAAAAGGGGGCTCCCCTGCCTCTCACGCAGCATCTCAGCCCGGGGAGCACATTAGGACCATCTGGGAGCTTGACCCCCCCCCCCCCATTTCCTGCACGCCCTGCAGAGCGTCTGTGCAGCTGGCCCAGGGCAAAGGCTGGGTTGGGCGCTTGTGGGAGCCGCTCCTGAGGGCAGATGAGCGTCCTGGGTTGAGAATATCTGCTCTCAAGCAGGCAGTCCCCCCGCCCCCCCCAAGCCTTGGCTCCCTTGCACCACCGGATGCGGAGAATTTCCTAGGCTGTGGCCACGGAGACCGGGAGGCATCTGCATAGAAATAGATACATTGATCCGGGAACAGACTAGGACCCAGGACAACCCACCCAAGAAGAGCCGCCTGCCAGGGCAGAGTACCCTGCGTCCAGCGGGCAAAGGCGGCCTCTCCAATGTGCGGGAAACACGGGCGTCCACTGGGGGGAAGGGAACCTTAACCCCTGCTCGCTCCACACACAAAAGTGAAGAAACCACAGACCCACATGTGGGAGGTATGAGAATGAACCATATGAAACTGCTGATATTCAATGATTTTTTTTTGGCCTCAAAACTCACATGATCAAATCCATAAAACTTCTGGAAGAAAATATGGTAGAATACCTCCATGGCCTCGAGATCGGCAAAGACTTCTTAAGCAGCACACAGAGTCCTAACCGCGAGAACTGACCATCGAGCCTCACTGAGAACTTCTGTGCATCCACAGCCCCCTAGGAGGATGCAGAGGCCAGGCGCAGAGGGTGCTGGGAAGGCGTGTGAGAAGGGGCGGTGCTGATGTTGAACATTTCTGCAAACCGCTCTCTTCCCGACAGCAGCCAGAGGTGACCTCTGAGGGGTTCGCTTTTCACTTGACCCAGAAACCCCCACAACGTCATGCAAGTCCAGGGGTTCAACTCTCCGCGCTCACTGCAAGAACACCCATGAACTGCCCAGGCCCTCAGGGTGTGCCAGGCCGAAAAGCCGCCACGTATCTGCAGGAGGTCCCTTCACAGAAGCCATGGGTGCCACCCTGTCGGGCACATCTGTTGATTTTTAAAATCGATTTTTAGTTACAGTTGACAATGGCTGGGCCCCTTCAGCACCGGGCTAGTTGCAGCCCATCGGTCTATTGCATGTGGGGTCGGCATGGCTGTGGGCCGTGTGGTGTGGGCGGCCTCACGGGAGCCCCACCAGCCCAGGATCACACACGTCCCCAAGTCCCAAGAGCAGCCAGGGCACAAGAGAGCGAAGTTCTTTGTTCGGGGGATTAAAGAAATACCCCAAATGCCCAGCCCTTGCAGTGGCCACATGCACGCTGGCCAGTAGCCTTTGTTCTCAGGTGTGACTGGCAGCACGCACCTTCCCGGTGTCGCCCCACCTTTACTGGGCACGCGCCTGTCTCCCCTTGGCTGGACCCCTGGAGGGTGCAAAGCTGCAGCTTCCTGGTGAAGCTGCCCCCCATGCCACGCCCATCATGGCTGGCTCCCCCTCTGCTCCTTTCCTGTTATTAATCACCAGCTGGTTACAACGGTGTCGGTGTGATTGACTCTGCTCCTTATGCTGGTCATTACGTCCTCAGGGTTATTTTTAACTGGAAGTTTGTACCCCTTAATCCCCCCCTTTTCTGTCCATCTCCCCGCTCCCTCCCCTCTGGCAAGCGTCAGTTTGTTCTCTGTATCTATGAGTTCATTTGTTTTGGATTTTGGTCCAGATGTAAGTGAAATCCTACGCATTTGTCTCTCTCTGTCTGACTTCTTTCACTTCGCACAATATCCTCTCGGGCCATCTATGTTGTCACAAATGGCAAGATTCGGCCTTGTTGTGGCTGAGTAATATTCCGTTGTGCGTCTGCACCTCGTCTTTATCCGCCCGCCCCTGAGGGACACCCAGGTCGCCCCCGTATTTTGGCTCTTGTAAACGATGCTGCAGTGGACATAAGGGGCATTGTTGGTTCTGCTTTCTTTGGATGGGTACCCAGAAGCGGAATTGCGGGGTTGAATGGCACTTCTATTCTTAGTTTTCTCAGGCACCTCCACCCTGTTGTCCGCAGTGGCTGTGACAACTCGCATTCCCCCTGCATGCACAAGGCTCCTTTTCTCCCCGTCCTCGCCAGCACCTGTTGTTTGTTGTCTTTTGGGGAACAGCCATTCTCACAGGTGTGAGGTGGTGTCTCATTGTGGTTTTTCACTTCCCCGATGACAGAATAGCTCTCATTAAAAAGGGCCGACAGTTCCCAGGGGTGGGGCCAGTGGAACTCGCACACGCGGCTGGTGGGCGTGCAGCTGGCGCACACACGGGAGTTCTTGGCAGGATCCATGAAAGCGAAACCTCTGCTTACCCTTTGACCTCTGCATCGTACCCCGGAATGTAGACCCAGAAATGTGTGCTGGGGGTTCACAAAAGACAGGCACTGGGGTGTCCACAGCAGCTTTATGTGATCACCCCAAAGTGGAAACGACTCGAATGCCTATTGACAATAAATGAAAAAAAAAAAGGTTTCAGCCCCCACCCCAAGTCGCAATTTCCATTTCCAAGGTGACCCCACAACTCTGTTAGTGCTTGTGACAGGCAGCCCCAGAGCCTGTGGCCAGCGATGGGAGGCACTGAGGGGCCCATTAGAGCAAATGAAACTGGGCCTCCAAGGATAAGGCGAAGGCGGAGTTAATGCAAACACAGCCTTACCCATTAAATCAGTCCCACTCAGTGCACCATCAATGGCTTCCAAAGAAACTAGCGCTTTCAAAGCAGCCGCCAACGATACCTGAGGCCCCCAAGGAGGGTTCAGTAAAAAAAGGTCGAAAGTCTTTCCACACAAAAATCTAAGCAAGTGAGAGAAAACGAGAAATAGAAGTGTAAGTCATACAGACTGTAGAGCACATTCTCCAAGTAACAAAAAGTCATTGCATCTAAGATGGCACGCCAAAGCCATGGAGGAAAGGCAAACAATTCTATAAATGTTATCGGGAAATAAAGTAATTTTGAAAAGAAAATGTTAACTATTTAAATTTAAAAAAATTAAAACAAAATATTGGAGGAGTGCCTTTTTACCATATTAGAGTAAGCAAGAACTTCATACGCATGAAACATGCAAAAGCCAGAAAAAGAATAACGAATAGAACAATGGGTATGTTGTGATCTAATGTATTAAAACTCAGCGCAGATAGAACGAGGGCCAATTACTAGCGTACACGTGTGTG